GCATGACAACGGCCTCTTACTCTGGACTTGAAACTTACCGGGCAGTTTAACATTTCATTAGCCTTTTATTTTGCAAGTTACATCAGACCTCAGATGTTTCTACCTCTTTATTTTACTTATTTTGTTGCTGTGCAGTGTGTACATTTTTCCCTCTGAGTTTTCCTCTGCCACTATAAAAGAAGCAATCTTGCTTTAGTCATTGGAGAGGCATCTGTGCTTTGGCTTGTCTATCATTAATAAACCCCCAAGCTCTGTTCTCATTTCTGAGCCACTAATGTCTGGTAATGATTTCCAAGTCAGAACACACACATAGCTGGATATTCAAACCCCAGGTTAAATTTTGCTTTCTGACACATCACCTGTTTTGAGTTTGAAAGTAAGACTATCTGTGTTGTGAAAGTTATTCAAGAAAGAGGAATACAGAGTAATTGAAAGGTTCACTCCTTTGACCTAACTGCTACCAAACCCTTGAGAATTTAAAAAAAAAAAAGTTTCCTTTGATCTTTGAAATCAACCCGTAGATGTTTCAGCTCCTGAGGCAGATACCATTAGAGTTGTTATACTATTAAAACTTCTGCAGAGCCATTTTTCTTGAATGGTAGGAAAGGTTTGGGGCTAGACTGGAATTGGTTTGACTGCTGTTGATATAAATGTTTTCTGAATTATGTTTTCTTACATGCCCATGTAACCTAAGAACCTCAAATCAAAGAAGAAAGCAAATTGACTAGGCACAACTGGACCTTTTTTTAAAAAAAGCAAAATTGAGTACAATAATAACAGCTTTCAGAAATTGTGAAAATGTCAACTCAAGAAAATTAGTTCTAATGCAAGCTTAGCTGTGGAATTTTATTGAAAAAAAAACTCATTTGAGCATGAAGCATTTAAATAATGAATTTATAAAGAGAAACACAAGGAAATAACAGAGAGCCATTATTTACAATAAGAAAAAAAAGCAAGTACACTCTAATGATTATAGATTTGAGTATGAAATTCTTTGCCTGAGTTTTCTTTCACTGCCTCTTTGTCATTGGGAGGCCTGTTTGATAATTTGGGTGAGTCTCATGGGTGAATATCTTTGTGTTTGCTCAGCAGAGAACAACAGTTGCAGTAGGTAAATAGGGTGCCTCTTCCCTTTGGATGCCTTGGGATATGTATAATAGATTAAGTTGGCTTTGTGTGCAGAGCAAACAGGTCTGTATTACCAAGAATATGAATAATGTCAGTTTCCATAATTGCTAACATCTGGCTTTCCATAAATCTGTTAAATTGCATGGAAGCAGAATTAGATTTCTGTGTCGTAAGTAAAGCAATTACATGCAACTCTGCAGGCAATATGGTCCTATATTCAACAGCGAAATCCTTTCATTCTGGAGAAGTGAAAGCAAATCCTTGTTTTGCTCCCTGTTTTTTTAATGTACACACTAGGTATGTTCATCTTTATGCTCAAGTTTCTTAATTTATGAGAGAAAAACACTGTTGGTATGTTTTCAATGTTGTAAATGCAAAATAGCCAAATATTAAAAAACCATATTATTGTTGGGCATTGTCAATTTAGAAATTTTTTTAAAGGAAACCATATATTACAGATACTTTTGTAGTCACTGGTGGTGGATCTGTTGAAATTACATTTCCAGATGATTCCTAAACTGACTTTTTAATGGGTCTTCCTCTGCCCTTGTTCTCAAGCGTTGGCAAGAAAATCAAACACTTTTTTCCTGGGGAGAAGGGAAGGGCATTGTCATCCTATTTCAGTGTGGCTACTAATTTGCTGTATTTATCCCACTTTAAATTAGACCCAGGGGTTTTCACTAGGTGAGAACTCCACAACAAAATGCGCTCCCTGAAAGGCAGGGTTGTGGTTATGCCTTATGATTATCAAACACTCCAGGACCAAAGTTTGGTGAAGTAGGCCTTATCATAGTTTTAGTCTGTGAATTTCCTGGATTTAGGTAAGTTAGATTGAACAAATTACACATCCACATTGTGTCCTGTTATACTTGGCACTGGGAAGAGAAAGAGAAATAATATTGAGTGTCTGGCGTCATTGAGCTCACAATATATGGAGATAGACATACTGAGAGGTCAACACAAGGACAGAATTGTATATGACACAACAGAGAAAGCAAAAAGTCTGTCTTACCCAAGAAGGGATGCTGACACTTGGTATGGATTTTGAAGATGGAGTAGAAGTGAATATAGCAAAGCAAGGAAGGTGTTTATCTTATCAAACAATTAATTTATACACCACCTCATTCTTGTAGGCTTAAATACGGTAGTGATAGAAAGGGAGCGATTACTCACATAATAAGAAAAGGCATGCTCCAAGACATAGGCATAAGAATATGACCTGTTTGTGGATCTCCCATTGCTTTAAAATAGAAAAATTCAACAAATAAAAATGGGTTATATTTATGGTGTACAACATGGTGGTTTGAAATATGGATACACTGTGGAATGGCCAAATCAAGCTAATTAACTTATGCATTAACTTACACACTTATCTTTTGTGGCGAAAGCTACACTCATAGCAATTTTTAAAAATACGGTATATTGTTATTCACTATAGTTAGCATGTTGGTAAAATAGATCTTTTGAATTTATTCTTTCTGGTCGACTGAAATTTTGTATTCATTGCGTTTTTGCATGAAAAGAGAAAGGATAAAAGATAACAATTGAGGTGTTAGATAAGGGCTTCGGTGATATGCTGGGAGTTTAAATTTTCACAAGACAATAGATTGGGTAGGTATTGTTTATGTAGAAGACAAATGAGAACTAGAGAAGCTGAATAATATATCTAAGTGCACACAGTTATGATGTGTAAAATGACTGGCACATGGTAAGTACTCAATTAAAGGAAGAGCTTTGTTTCAAACATAGGTCACCTGACTCCTATATTTAATATTCCCTTGAATTGGGAAGAATTAGGGAAGTGAAAAAATACTGAAAGAACAAGAGAGCACCATGTGGTCAAATGCACTGAGAATGGCATGGGCATGACAAGTAATAGTGAAAAGATAGAGCGAGGCCTGGTTGTAGTTGGCTTGGAATATAGGCATCATAATTTGGGATCATTTTCTATAGTTGTCAAATGAGAAATCATTGTTCATTAACTACATGTCTTGACTGAGACCTCAATCAGTGGGACAAATACAAGAAATAGATCTTAGAGGAAATTATCTTCTAGGAAAATTATTAGAATTTCTTAATGTCTTCTACCTTATTAGCCACTGAGCTAAAACAAGTGGACGATTTAGACAACCCTGAGCCAAAAGACAGGCCCTAGATCTTAGAACCAAGATTGAAAGAAGTGAGAATAATTCTTGATAGGTACCTCATCTAATCAAAGCCCTACATCCTAATGGCCAGCAACATTTTGCTTACACACACAAAAAAATCAGAACTATGATAGGATATGTCATGGAGGCTGACAAAAGACACACATATATTGGATGCAAAGAACTTTGTGCAGAATAGACTTTTGGTAAAAAATTCATTGGAATCGATGTTTTCATATGATGAGTATTTACAGAGCATGGCAGTAGATTGATCAGGAGTATAGAGGAAGATTCTGGTAGACAACTGACAAATATCTTAAAATACTTAAAGATTATTACAAATAAGAAAGACTTATGTAGTTAATCCTCACTTGTACCCCACATTCCTATAATAAAATAAAATTCAAAAACTAAATACAGCCGAGCTCGGTGGCTCAACCTGTAATCCTGTGCCTTGGGAGGCTGAGGCGAGTGGATTGCCTGAGCCCGCGGGTTCAAGACCCGCTTGGGCAACTTCGTGAGACCTCATCTCCACTGTAAATCAAAAAAATTAGCCGGGTGTGGTAGCGCGCACCTGTAGTTCCAGCTACTCTGAAGGCTAAGGCAGAAGGATCGCTGGAACCCAGCAGGTCGAGGCTGCGGTGGCCAGGAGCAGCCACTACACTCCAGTCTGGGTGACGGAGTGAGACTCCAACTCAAAAAAATAAATGAATAAATATGTCAATAAGAAAGACTTAATAGACTAGTAAATGCTTCTTGAGCGGCCTCAGACAACGAGTATTATCACTTCTACCAATGAGTAGACATTACTAGGTAGCATATTTCCTCCCAATTTAAGGAAGACATCTCTGAAAAAGTTACTCAAATATGGAATCGCTACTTTTGGGGGTAATATATTATCTTTTGAGGAAAAGCTTAAGGCAGGGCTAGGCAGGTGTGTTTTGAGATGTTGTTAAGGTCACTCGAGCTTTAAATGTCAGAATGGCTGGCTGGATTTATGCTTTTCCTCCATCCTTGGTTGTCAATAAAAAACAACACAATATATTTGTGCCTTTCGTTAGCTTCCATGCCATACCCTATTGTAGCTCTGGTTTTTTGTGTGTGGTCAAAATGCTACTGGTCATTAGGAAGATAGGGCTTTGATTAGACTAGGTACCTATCAATAATTATTCCCTCTTCTTTCAACCTTGGTTCCAGAATCTAGAACCTGTTTAATGACTCAGGCTGCCTAAATCACCCACTTATTTTAGCCCAGTGGCTAATATATTCACACCTTTTCTAAAAGACCTGGATCTCTATGGAGTACATCCTGTATCCACACTATTAATGAATTTACAGTGTTTACGGCTTCTGGACAAAATAGTTCTTAAGAATATCCTAAACTGGTTTTTAACTGTTACTGAATATTTTGGTAATTAGAGTCAGGGAGCTGAGGATTTGGGTCTCAGACCAGCCACATATTAGCTGTGTGACTGTGAGCCCATTATTTAATTCTAGAAACCTCAGCCTAGTGTTCAGTTGCATTATGTGTGGAATAGAAATAAGTACAGATCCCTCCACATAAAGATGTGTTACAGAATAAATAAGATAATGTATACTAACAGTTATGTACAATACCTGGCACAAGTTAAATGTTCAATAATGTTAGTTAATGCTATTGCAAATGATTGTTATTTTCTAAGTTCCTTGGCTAGAGTCTAAGCCTCTGTGCTTTCTTTGTTGCAGACATCGATGAATGTGCCTTAAGAACTCACACTTGTTGGAATGATTCTGCCTGCATCAACCTGGTAGGGGGCTTCGACTGCCTCTGTCCCTCTGGGCCCTCTTGCTCTGGCGACTGCCTCCATGAAGGAGGACTGAAGCATAATGGGCAGGTGTGGACCTTGAAAGAAGACAGGTGTTCTGTCTGTTCCTGCAAGGTAAGGCTGATGTGTTGCAGCAGAAATTGAAACTATTCTTTCCCATATTCCCTCACCTTTCTGCCTCCCCAGCACTTTCTCCCTAGCTGTTGACTCACAGGTCTCCTGTAGTTCCTAAAAAAGGGTTTCTCCTGTTCCAATCTGCACGACAGCTAATGATCATGAGAGATGAGTGGCAGGTAAACCTGCTTTGAATTGATTGTGCTTTTGGTGAATAGCAGTGAATACAGGTTGGGAAGAAACTGCTGAGAAGGGGAAGTAGGACAGAGAAGCCAATGATGATCCACCTGTGAGAGCCTGCAGTGACTTTAAGGTTGGTTGGATGAGAGTTTTAATGAGCTCTCATCTCACACTTATACAAACTGGCTGATTATATGTAATACTCTTTGGCTAAAATGGTCACTTTCATGAACTTGCTCACTTTTATGGTGACCTCATCCAGAGAAGCAAGGCTGTAAGCCTTGCTTCTGGTGTTCAGAGACAGGTAGACTTTAATTCGAGCAAGTGGCAATGACAGTACGAAGCCTCCTAGTAATAGAAGTTTTCTTTGTCATTCTTAGTGCTAGGCTATTCCTTACATTAAGTTGTTTGGGAGTGAGTTTAATGCTTACGAAAATAAAATTCTGTCATTGCCTGCTTTTGCTTTATGCTTTGCAAAATGGACCTAATAAAGTGTTTGAGTTCCTTGTGCTTTCATTCTTCCTTTGTTGATCTTGCCTATTTAGTGTCCTTTGTTATTGCTGTACTGCAGTTCTTGCCTTGTATTTCTAGGTCTATTGGGATGGGACTATTTAATCTTAGTTTTTATGGGTACAGGAGCCAAGAAAAATGACTTGCTTATTGGCCTCTTAGAGAGCCAGTTCTCCTGATAAATTCCCAGTGTGCTACCAAGAAACAGAGCTGAAATGAGTCTCAATAAATCATCCAATTCATCCACCTGCCTTCAAGTTTGCCACACCTCAATGGACCTGGGGGCATCTATGTAGAAGAATTAAGTTTTCAAGTGTGTGGATCATTACCCTCTTGTAATTTTCCCTCCTTACACATAAGCCTAGTGCCTCATTCCCAAATTTAGGATTTTTTTTCCATTTATTGAGCACTTTCTATGTTTCAGGCACTCTGTCATTCAAAACAATGGCAATATGTTTCATTCTTGTAGCACTATTTTGAAAGATGAGGCAACGGGATTTCTAAGAGATCAAATAATTTGCCCTGAATTTTAAAGATACAAGTTTCTAAGTTGGGACTTAAACTTTACTTGCTCGCCCCAAAGTTTATAGTCTTCCCATCTTGCCAGACATCCTGTTAACACTCTACACATGATATTTATTGGTATATATAAATCAATTAGGCAATTTATCAATCTGGCTTGACTGAGCTTAGACTCACAGCTCAGCACTGTGTAAATTACTGTGGGGACATTTCTCTCAGGAAGTTTTGAAGCTATTAAATATACTATTTAACCAGGTGGTGCTGTCTCAAAGGGCACAAATTTTTAAGAGAAGAAAAATCTTATTATAGATTAGAATAGTTGAGAAGGGCTTTCGAAGAGTTTGGCATCAGATGTCCCATTCAGCCAGCAAAATGGAAATGAAACCTTTGCCAGTTCTTAAAAAAAAAATGTGTTTGTTAACTTTTAAGAATGATTACAACATAACCACATAACCCCAAATCATTTTTGGGCTTTCTAGGTCCCCAGTCCCTGAAGTAGGCCATAGACTTGAGCTGTGTCTTGACTAGTGAGAGAACAAAATGTCTTTTCTCTTTTTGTTGTATTCAAGCCCAGAGAATTTACTAAGCATTAAAAATTTCCCAGAGCTTCTTTAATTAACTGTGTTAATAATCCAAACAATCTAGATTGATTTATTCTCTTTTGAATCCTATAGCGTCTCCAAAGTCTTATGAGAGTTAGACTGAAATTGCCACAGGAGATGAGCAATTCTTGTAATCTTATTTTGTTAATACAGTATACTTCCACAGCTAATACTCCCCTTTCCCCTTTCTGAATAAAGCACTAGATGGATTTCTTTACATAGGTCTGTTTTATTTGTCTGTTCTCCAATTGTACTTATCACTCATTTATAGCATAGTTTCCCATAAGTTGTGAAGGGAGAAGACAGCCTGGTTTTAGGAGCTGAATTAAGAATCCTAAATCAAATTCTGTAAGTCACCTGGATAAAATGAACTATTTGTGACCCCCCCTTGTTTGTTTCCATTGAAAGCGTTCTATTCCAATTTGAAAAAATATGTCTCCAGTACTTAAGCATTCAAATGGATGATTATAATGGCATCATCTTAGAGACTAAGAAATACACTCAAGGTTGAGATATAAAGTACTGTTTTTCAGTCATACCATTGATGTTTCAAATTTAAATAAAAGCAAATCACATAATTGCAGAATCACACAAGTCTACAAATGGTCAAGGCTTATTGCTGAGAGAAGCAGAGTCAAAGTTGTTTTAAAAGGCCACCCTCCCCCTTGAAAGTCAGTACCACTAGGTTAGCTGATTTATGGCAGTTGAACAAAGACCTTGAAACAAGTCCATAAACGAATGAGTTCAAGGATAAAGCTGGACCAGCACAAATAGATTTGGGCTTTTGTTTAGATTCTATGTACTTCCTTGGCAGTGACAATGTTTTTGTGCACCTTTAGACCACCTGGTTGATTAGGCACAGAAAGATGGCTTAAAACCAATGTTCCTCTAGCATTATTCAGACCACAGAAATCCAGGTGAATAAATGTTATCTCTCTGGGCTTGATTCCTAAGTCTTGGTTGAAGCCCTGCTTCTTTTCATGGATGCCCATCTGTGGCTTTTCCACTCATAAATTTGTCCAGGGCTTTAGGAAGACATTTTTATTTTCTACCTGTGCTACATGGGAAGGTAGAGAGGTCCTAGGTTTATTAGTTTCTAGGAAATGCAGCATATTAGTATGAGTAGTTGTGTTTATGTTGGAGATCATGAAGAGGGAAGTGGGTACACAAACAACCACTTGTTATCATAGAGTCATGAGCAACTTTCTGTGAGAACATAAAAAGGGGAAATAAAGTCTGCATCTGTGGGTTCCACATCTATGGGTTGAAGAAACTCTGGATCAATTTTTAAAAATAAAATAATACACAGTAAAAATGAACACAATGACTATTTAAATATCATTTTCGTTGTATTAGGTATTATAAATATTCTAGAGACATTTAAAGTATACAAGAGGTTATTCATAGATTATTTGCAAATATGACACTATTTTGTATTAAGGACTCGAGCATCTTCATATGTTGCTATCTGTGGGAAATCCTGGAACCAAACCTCCAGGAATACCGAGTGATGACTATACACTTTATTATGGGAAGATACAGAAGGGAATGGAGGCAAGATTTAAAAATAATTGACATTTAAATAAGAGCTTAAAGGATAAGAAACCTAACTGAGCAGAGATATGGTGGAAAATGAATCCCAGACAGAGGGAACTACAAGGGCAAAGATGCAGAATATAAAAATATATGTCATGTTAGAGATATGAAGTAAATAATAAAATTAGAATATTAGGAGCAAGACAGGTATATACTCAATGATAAGCCTGGATACAATGACTGAAGATAGAGCCAGAACACGAATTTAGACTTCATCCTGTGGACAGCAAAGTGTCATGAGATAATTTACTTTTGGGATTGGCATGGCCCCATCAAGTTCTGACTGACAGCATTATGGATGGCTCGAAGCTAACTGAAGGAAATCATTTAGGCTGAGGGAAACGTTCAGAAGAGTAAAGCTGAGAACCTGAAGGAAGAATAGAGAGGTAAGATCACGTAGGAGAAGTTACAGATGTGAAATGATGGGTCCTGATGGTGTATGATGTTAGGGACTGAGCCTCTGTGGCAATGTCTTTCCTGTTCTTGGGGCATAAAAAAAGCTCCAGAATGGAATGTTTGAACTTAGCTACCCCTTTTCCTGGGTCAGCAGGTTTCCGGTGACAATGACAAAAGAAAGAACGAGGGTCTGTAAGTCAGACTTTTATGCTCCTACATTTACTGCATCTATATATAATGGGATATTACACTTATGCCATCAATTACTATGAGTAGTAACTGGAAAATATAGTGAGAGAAAGAGAACAAACTATGAAAGCAATATTTTATTTCTATGCTTTTATACTGTTAAAAAAAAGATGAGTAGTGTTTACCTTGAAGCGAAATAATACTAAAGACTTGGGTATTGCTAGATCTTGAGATTTTTCTAGGGATTACAGAGGTAAGTAGGGAAAAGGATACCATAAATAACCAGCCAACTTCTAAGTTATAAAAAAAAGTCAAGGGCAAATTGCTATGACAATGTGGAAAGAGAAAGTGAAGTGGAGAAGACCTTTGTCATGAGATTGCCAGAAATGATGACCAATTGACCTGGTTTCATATGAAACGTTGCCGAGAAACTGAGGAGAATGGCCATGATAGGGACACCTAAGGGACTCTGATGTCTTTTTCTAGCAAGAAGGGAAAAACCTGATCTGCAAGGAGCTGCTGGGAAACTGCCCCCCCCATCTTAAATGTAGCACTCTCTCACAGGGTGAAGACCAGGGATGAGTCAGTCTGCGCAGGGGACCAGAGTAGAAGTTAGCTTTCTAGATTCCAGCAGTCTACTCATAAAAAGGCTCTGCATCCATCCAGTAGCACCGGCAGTAGGTTGGATTTGGACTGTGGGAGTCAGTTTGCTAACCCCAAGTTTATATTATCATTTGACTTACATAAATAATTTTACTTCATCCACATTCTGGATTTAAAAGTTTTAGAACTCTATGGCAGAAAAAACAAACATTAATGATATTATACAATCTGAAGTAAATGTGTCCTGTGTTTACTATTCAGAATTAAAATTTGTAATTTACAGTTAGAAACCTATAATTTTCCATAGCATAATAATAATTTATTTTTGTTTGATATGAAGATGTATGTCCCTGCTTTTTAAAATTCAGAAGCAATTTGAATACTATAATGCATATTCATTGTTTAAACTTGAACCTTCATTATAAAACTTTATAAAAACAGTTTGTTTCTGATGCATAAGCATGGGAAAGTTCATCTTTGTTATGTAAGTAGGGGTTGTTCAAACTACCCTGCTTGGGATAGAGGTTAAGCTCTGAAAAAATCCCCAAAGATCTATGACAAGAAGAATTAATTACCATCAGTGAACTCCATTCTCTTCCCAAATTTGGTTTCTATTGTGGCTATGTTCTGTGAGCTGAGATTTCTTTAATGGCATTCTCATTGAATTTATAGAACCACCAGTGATATTTTCATTATTAAAAATGATTTTCTTGATGGTTACTCTGTAATTTGAAGCCAAATGAACATGGCCATTATTTTGAAACATGTTAGAAGCTAAGAGAAGCCAATTTGGCATTTTCGCATAATTGATGAGATGTGAAATTGCTATCCATTTGTTCTTATTCATTCTTTTAATCAGCACATGGTAAGAAAACTGACATTCTGATTGGGTCTCATTGCCAGTAACTTCTTCTAAACTAATTTACCCTTTTGTTTAATGCCAGCTAGACATGGCCATGTTGGTTCCCGAGGCTTGGTTCTTGTTACTCAGGAAGAGGGGTATTATGCCATTGGAAGCTGAGATGAACATATGGCTTCATGTTGTAGCTATCATTACTTTTCTTAGTTTTTATTGGTTAAAATAAATCTTCAGAGAGTCATTTGGGGTCATAATTATACAAGCAAAATATACTAGTGACTTAAAATTATAGTATATGACCTGTAAGCCAAAGACCTGTTGTTGGAAGATTCCTAGGATCTGGACAGCTATTTGTCCAGTCTAGCTGGATACTCTGATTCAGTTCACTTGCATAAATTTAGATGTCTTGCTCTCTCTGTATACATATTTACTTGCACACACAAGTGTATATGTGTGTGTAATCTTTCATCTCTTGATATTTTGGGAATGCTATGATTTCTTATCATTTTTGTGGTAACAGAGCCAGTGCACACAAAGCATTTTTCAACCTGTTATTATATATGTAGCTAGCATGTCTCCTTTCTATTCTCCATAAAGGATCTAAACCTTTTAAAGATTTCCACTTTAGCTGATGCAAAACATCTCAGGAGACCCTGTCAGATTATTTAGTATTGTTATGGATAAAGTTGATGAGGACCCTGAGGGCAAGTCCATCAAGTGTGCAGATGTCACTAAACTGTGAAGGAGAATGATCTATGGTGGATGACAGAAACAGCATTTACAAAACATTGTGACAAGCAGGAGAGATGAAATGGATCTAACAAGGTGAAATGTGACAAAGATAAACATCAGGTTATACACTTGCAGCCCCTAAACAACCAACTACACAAGATGGGATAGGGCTTAACAAGGTTTTAGTCTTCATTAAGCTCAATATAAGTCAACTCTATGACACAGCCAAAGAAAGAAAGTAAATACAGTCATGCACCACTTAACGGAAATAATACATTCTAAGAAATGGGTCATTAGGCTTATTGGTCATTTTGTGAACATCACAGAGTGCATTTAAACAAACCTGGATGGTATAGCCCACTACACATCATACCATATGGTATAGCCTGTTGCTTTTAGGTTACAAACCTTATGCAACATGTTCCTGTACTGAATACTGTAGGCAATTATAGCATAATGGTAAGTATTTATGTATTTAAACATATATAAATATAGGAAGGATACAGTAAAAATGCAGTACAAAAGATTTAGAAAGGTATACCTTCATGGATGGAGCTTACTGAAAGTTACTCTGGGAGAGTCAGTGAATGAGTGGTGAGTGAGTGGCATAGGGTATTACTATACCGGGAGGACCCCCACAGAAATCCCTGGAATTTATTTAGAGAAAAATTCTGTATTTATCCTTTCATGTTTAAACTTCATTTGCCTTCAAAGTACTCTCCATTTGATGGGATACATCTATCTTTTTCCACTGTTCAAAACAATTTCAGTACCTTTTAGTGTTTCTCCCATTTTGTTTCATCTCTTCTACAACAACAAAACTTTTTAATCAGGGAAAAAGCAACAAAAAATTGCTCAGGGAGAGATTGGATGAATAAGGAGGGTGGAACATGGGGGTCAGGCCATTTGGGGTCAAACACTAGTGAACACTCAGTGTGGTGTGGGAAGGTACAGTGTCATAATGGAAGAACCAGTCACCTGTTGCCACAACTTGGGAAGTTTCTTCTGCAAATCATGAGACAATCATCTCAAAACTACCAGATAAAAACTTTGACTGTTTGATCTGAAGGAACAAATTCTGCATGTACTATAAGGGGCCTGCCCTCCAAAAGTTAATTCCAGTTTTTTGGGATCCCTCCTTGTACACTACTGTAGACTTTATAAGCACTTAGGCTACACTCATTTGATTTAAAAAATTCCTGTCTTCAATAATAAATTAACCTAAGATTACTGTAATTTTTTTCTTTATAAACCTTTAAAAAAAACTTTTTGATTCTTTTGTAATATCTAGCTTAAAACATACATTGTACAGCTGTACAAAATATCTTCTTCCTTTATATCCTTATTATATAATCTTTTTTCTGTTTTAAAAATGTTTTACTTTCATTTTATTTTTTACTTCTTAAGCTTTTTTTGTTAAAAATTAAGACCTAAGCACTCTCATTAGCCTAGACTTATTAAGGGTTAGGATTATTACTGTCTTTCTGCTCCCCATCCTGTCCCACTGGAAGGGATTCAGGGGAAATAACTTACATGGAGCTGTCATCTCCTATGATAACAATGCCTTCTTCTGGAATACCCCCTGAAGACCTGCCTGAGGCTGTTTTATAATTATCTTTTTTTTATATAAATAGAAAGAATACTTTCTAAAATAATAATTTAAAAGTATAGTATAGTAAATACATGAACCAGTAACATAGTCATTTATTATCATTATCAAGTATTATGTACTGTACATGATTGTATTGGCTAGATTTTTATATAACTACCAGCAATGCTTGTTTATATCAGCATCTCCACAAACATATGAGTACATGATGCATTGTGCTGCATGACAGCTACGTTGTCACTAGACGATAGGAATTTTTCAGTTCCATCGTAATCTTATGGGACCACATTTGTATGTGTGGTCTGTCAGTGACCTAAACATTTCGTGACACATTGCTGTGTTAAAATTAGTCTGCATTAAGGAAAGCACGGCACTTAAAACAAGGTCACCATGGGACTCAATTCAGTCTTTGTTTGAAGACTATTACTGAAAATAATTTTTTAGTAATTATCAGGATTCAAGTTTGAGAATGCATTAAAGTACTTCACATAATGGATGGTACAAGATAACTTATGGTAGATGATGATAGGAAATACCCAAAACTGTTGAAGGAGAGGGCAATCGTGATACTTAAAGTATTAAAAACTATGAGTTGGGGATATTAGAGATGTTTAACCCAGAGGTGAGTTAATAAGAGATGTTATTATTATACCAGAGATCAGCGAATACATAAGAGCCGTCTTCTAAGAACTGCAGAGTTGAAATGTGACAGAAGGTGTTGGGAGTTCAGTGATTACCAAGGGTATGAACTAAGTTCAATGACTAGAGGTAATAAGAAGCCCAATTTTTAACATTAAGACTTGTACAGAGATGCACACTTTCAATGCTCTCCATAGTGGTGAATTCAAGTCTGGAGAACTTCAAACACAGGCTTGATAACTTTTGAATATGGTTGCTGTAGAAAGGATTCAAATACAAGTCAGGAGGTTTGATTATGTGTCCTTTAAGGAACTGTCCAGTCCTGAGATTACTTGGTTCTGTAAACATTTGGCAAAGCAGTTATAACCATAAACGAGGGTGAGAAATCTTATTTTACATTTTTAGCTTCTTCATTTTTTGAAGCAGAAAGTTATTGTGAGCAATAAATGTAAGACATGGTGTAAAATGTTTAGTCTTAAGGCTCACATGTTGTTGACCTGAAATTTTGAATAACTATGAGTCCTCAGGGCAAGTACACCAGGAATTGTCCTGTGACTGCAATTTGGGGAACTGCCTCCAGGTGGAAGGGGGCACCTGCTTATAACCCCTTGTAATAACATGACAGCTGTCTTGTGGAAGAAAAATTGTTCTGAAATTGTAAGAACTGGTGATACTACTTAGAGAACCACTACCTGTGAGATCTTGGAGAAGTCATTTATCTTCTCTGCACTTCATTCTTCTGTATAAAGGGTATAATCAGACTTCTTTCCAGAATCAGGACAGGGATATAACTAAATTTGAGTGTGTTAGGTGTTATCATTATATATTATATATTAGGAGAATATAGTAGCACTATATATTATATATTAGGAGAATATAGTAGCATGATCTTCCACTGAAATGGTTTATTGATCACATATGTATTTTTAGCTGCTTAGTTTAATTAAAATGCTTACTTAAAATACGATTTTTAAGAAAACATTTAGAAAAAAATGTTAAGAACATATTGACTTCTTTATGATACTTAGAAATGTTTCCATTGAGCTGTACTACAGGAAAGAAAGTGTAGTGTACGTTTGTGTGGGCATTCAAGCATGCTTCTGTCTTGAACACAATGGGAGGTGATGAGAAGATAACCAACATTCCAGAACATCTTTTCTTTGTGCTTTGAAAATATTTACAAGGTTTTGTTTTCATAGTGTGGCTATCCATCATTTTCCTAATAATGAAACCTCTTTAACCTCATTTCTAAACAGGACGGGAAGATATTCTGCCGACGGACAGCTTGTGATTGCCAGAATCCAAGTGTTGATCTTTTCTGTTGCCCAGAGTGTGACACCAGGGTCACAAGTCAATGTTTAGATCAAAATGGACACAAGCTCTATCGAAGTGGAGACAATTGGACCCATAGCTGCCAGCAGTGTCGATGTCTGGTATGTCGACTTCCTTTGGAGAGTGTTGTCCCTTTACTCTGGAAGGGTTTACACCTCAGTTGCCTATAGGATCTGTTTCTCAGCTGTTTCTAATAAATAGTACAGCAGGGAGCTGGGGGATATGGCTAACTAAGGGGCATGTCCTCTGCTTGAAGATATTCAGGCTGTTTAAAACACTGTGCAAAACAAAAATAATATATTTATAGGACAGTTTTGGCTACAGCATTGACAGTTTACAGCTGCTACCTTTTTAAAAATATAGATTGAGAAAAATCCCTGCAAGATAGGAAGATTTCACAGGCTTGGCTAACATTTTTATTCCTTATCGAGTCAAATCATTTTTTTTTTCCAGACATAACTCTTAAAGATTTAAATGTGAGAAGTAACAAAATATAGTAGTCATGTCAGAGATTTAATCATAGAGACTCAGAATCCAATTTTGGTGCTCCCATAGGCTAGTTCTATGTGACTACCTTGGGCAAGTCCTAGCATTTCACTCATTATTCTTTCTCTAAAATGTACACAAGTAACTCCAGACTGGGCGACAGAGTGATACTCCGACTCAAAAAAAAAAAAAAATGTACACAAGTGTATAAATGCCTTCTTCATAGGGATGTTATGAAGATTACAGAATATATGTGAAGGACAAATATAGTAATTAGCATATAAAAGGTGCTGAGTACATAGTAGCTACTATTGTTATATCCTACCTTGAAAAATCTTTTTCAGATACTAACTAAATGTTCATACAGAAAAATGAAGGTTGTTATAGATACTAATATAGGAATATTACTTATATAATCAGATTTGAGAAAGCCCAATGAAAAGGTTTAATTTCTGGACCTGGTTCTTTTGGCTTCAAATTATATCACAAACAAAGATATTTATGAATAGGAATCTTTTTAGGACATATTGTCATCGCAAATGTGATGTTCCATCTGTAAGGTCACAACTATAACGCATTCTACCTGAGTTGACTTGTAATGAAAACTATTATTTGGGTGCCCGTAGTTTAACATCTGCTGAAATGAATGATTAAGTCCATGATTACTATATGAAAACAAGCATTCGGAAAAATGTACTTTGAATTTCCACCAGATTTTCTAAAATCTTCAGGTAAATATGCAGATAATGTTAATAGGATACACCTTTCTTGATAATTTCTTCTACTAAAAGGTGAAACTTCAGCAGCAAGCATGTCCAACACAACTATAGAATTAGTCTCCATATTGGTTTGGAAAAAAGCATTTCTGTTTTACAAGGCCGATCATCAAACAGAAGAATGGATATTAATTTTGTACATAAAATTTTCATAGCTAGAATTTCAAAATTATATCCTCTTCCATTCACAGCCCCGAAGGGGAAAACTTCACAGGGAAACTGAAACTGTTGAGCCCATAGCTTAAGAATTACTTGAGAATAATGTGTGTTATACTTAATGAATATTTATCAAGAGTTTGCATGTGCTGGGCTCTAGATGATGTGAGAGTGAGGAAGATAGGCGTGGTCTTTACCTGCACAAAGCCCATAATCTTGTGAGGATGACTGAACAATTTAGCAAGAGTTGCTGCACATTATAATGAGTGTCATGACAGCAGAAGACGCTGCATAGGGAAACAGCTTTATCCTGGGTGGCTCAGCGGAGCCATGGTTGCCAGATGCTGAGACACACGGAGGTTCTATTTGAACAGTAATATAGAAAGTTTACTCATCACACATTACATTCAAAACCACTCTGCATTGATTATCCTAATATTGCCCAGCCTCCACTTTAAATTCAGTTGAAATATGATAGTACTTTGGGCTTTGTTTTTGACCTTATGAAAAATTAATTTCTTTTTATATACTAGCCTTTTATTTATTTGTTTTACATTGACCAAAATTGTGCTAAGCACCATAGAGACAAAGAGAAACACGTCCGAATTCTGAAAGCTCAAAACTTAATGTGGAATTGGGCTGAGAATTATGATACGATATTAAGTATCATGATAAGAATACGTGTAGGCTACGCTTGGCCCATGAGGAAGCTGACCTGGCTCTTTCTCTGGAATGCCCTGTAGGTGGTCAGCGAAAGCATCTTGAAGGAGGTAACATCTGTAACAGGTCTTCAAGGAGGAGGTATATTGTGCTCCTGACAGTGTTAACTGGAAACATGCAATAATGACAGTTGCTGTTTTCTTTCACCTTCTTGAACTTTGGGAACAAAATTGTGCATAGGAACAATGATGAGGCATTTTTGGCTTTCTCTCCACAGGAAGGAGAAGTGGATTGCTGGCCACTCACTTGCCCCAACTTGAGCTGTGAGTACACAGCTGTTTTAGAAGGGGAGTGTTGTCCTCGCTGTGTCACTGACCCCTGCCTGGCTGATAACGTCGCCTATGACATCAGAAAAACTTGCCTGGACAGCTATGGCATTTCAAGGCTTAGCGGCTCTGTGTGGACAATGGCTGGCTCTCCCTGCACAACCTGTAAATGCAAGGTAATTGCATAACCTGAGGGAATTGTGGCCTTGAAGAATTGCCAGAGAAAACTCACAGGAGGTCCATGCACAGGTTCCATGGGGTATGGTGGAAACACAGGCAGGTGTTTACTTCTCATAGGAGGTTCATATGTCTGAATAGATGATTGCCGCATCTAGTGTAAAGGCAAATTCCAAATGAACCTGAAATTAAAAAAAAAAAAAAACTCTCTTGCTTTTAAGCTACAAAATTTTAACAACTGACTCTAGGTCCAATTATGATGGATTTAAGCTATTTTGTTCTGCATATTTAAAATAAAAGGGAAGAGCCAGGCTCAGTGGCTCAGCCTGTAATCCTGCGCCTTTGGGAGGCTGAGGTGAGTGGATTGCCTGAGCCCGCGGGATTGAGACCCGCCTGGGCAGGCGAGATCTCATCTCTACAATAAATCAAAAAATCAGCCGGGTGTGTAGCGCATGCCTATAATTCTGCCTACTTGGAAGGCTGAGGCAGAAGGATCGCCGGAGCCCAGCAGGTCGAGGCTGCGGTGGCCAGGAGCGGCCACTGCACTCCAGTCTGGGCGACAGAGTGAGACTCCAACTCCAAAAAAATACAAATAAAAATAAATAATAAAATAAAATAAAAGGGAAGAAAGAGACAATGGGAAACGAAAAGGGAAGGGAGGAAGGGGGTAAGGAAGGAGGGAAGAAAGGAGGCAAGGAAGGAAGGAAGGAAGAAAGGAAGGAGCTACCTCCTTTCATCCTCGAAAATTTTCTAAATTCTTTTATGAAACTGTCAATCTTAGGAAAAAAGTGCTCTCTAAAGTTGTTTGCTTTGTTTTATTATCAGAGTGCTTAAGGAAGGGACCTGCTTTTACTACAGCATTTGATTAATTGTGATTATTTCCATGTCTTTTTTGGAGGAGTTTTCATGAAACATCTTCATACGTCTTTAAGATTAAAAACCTGAACCATCCCTTCCTTCAAAGCTCATGAAGAGCTGTAACTGTAGCTGATTTGGAACAATGGTTAGTCAGTATCAAAATCTCCGCCAAAACATCTGTCTAAGATTCCCGTGATTAAGCACTTTTAAAATACAAGTCTGCTTGGGCCCATCAAACCCTGGTTCAGCTTTAGGCATCAGTGGAAGGCTCCTACCTTGCTTCTTTTATGCTGTTATAAATGTGGATTTCTTCTCTTTCCTATAAAGTATCATTTTAGATGAAGCCTTGATAGAAAAAGGATAATATCAGGCTTCACACCTCAAAAGAACCATGGTCCTATCTGTACCTTCAGCCCCAGAAAACTAAACGATCAGGTGACATAAAGACTTCTGTTATTTAATATTATTTCCTTGATATCAGTTTTGAGATTCATCAAGGGGAATTATAAAAATATATTTACATTCATATATTAAATTGATTTTTAGTGAACTTCTAACAATTTATACATGTAAATATTCATTGCCACTTCTGAGTTTCTGGAAGTCATCTTGGATTTGCCCACAGATTCTTGGGGTACTTTTGATCAGCTTTTCAAATGGCAAATTGTCATCTTTCAGGGATTTACTTTTGCAGGGTATCTTATTTGGAATAAGTCCAGCTAAAAAAGTGTGTGAAAACTTGTAAATCCCAGAGAGGTGTTTCAACTGTGACTTGAGTATAAGCGGGGCAAGATACAGCAATGACTGCAGAACCCTAGAAAGAGAGACTGTGGAGTCTATCAGTCCTTCCTTTCCTTCTACTCTTTCTCTAGCATTTTTCCAACATCCTCCTAGTCGTGTTTCTTTAGCATCCTTAAAGTTTGTCTCAAAATGCAGAAGGTCATTTTGAATACTATAACAATTGCAGAGTGCTATTTGATTCATAGGCTGTGTTTCCGCTGGCTAACATTTGTGTCTTTGTTTTACAGAATGGGAGAGTCTGCTGTTCTGTGGATCTGGAGTGTCTTCAAAATAACTGAAGTGTTTAAAAATGGACTCATCGCAGGAGAAAAATGGACACCATGACCACCCAACGTGATGAAGGATAGGAATTGGTGTTTTTCTTTTTTACCACAGACAGTTACCAAAGTCTCCATCTGAGGAAGTTTTTTGGGAATTGCCTTTGGGGCCTACCACTTTGCTCATTCTTGCTAACCTAGTCTAGGTGACCTACAGTGCAGTGCATTTAAGTCTATGGTTGTTAACAGAATTTTCCCGTGTTGTAAATCACATGTTTTCCTTATCAGGTCATTTGCAAATACATGTAAATGATCACCTGGCAAATGTTGATGTATTTTTTGTTTTATTTTGTGTACTAACATAATTGAGACGCGGCTCCTTTTATTTATTTTTTCTTGATTTTTGGATCAAATTCTAAAAATAAAGTTGCCTGTTGTGATTTTGTCCCATCTACTGCATACCTAGTATTGAGGCCTCTGTATAATGTTTGATGAAAATATGCACACAAAGTCCAATTACATTATGCTTATCTCAAATTGTTGAACATTCTTAGATGTCCACCCATACTGCTTAATCATGCAGAAGACAATTGTGATAAAGAAGGGGAAAACTACAAACATAAATAATTTTTTAAAAAATGACTCCCCTCCTTCTTGCAAGACAAAAAGTAAAAGAAACAAAATAATTTTTTAATTTTAAAAATTTTATTATTTATTTAAAAGATGTGGGGTATAATTCAGGGTTAGATATATAAACATTGATAATGCAGGTACCCTTGTTGATGAGATATGCCCTTTCCTCCCCCAGCAGTTACCCTCAACTGCCAATCCCACCACCCCCTCCCCTGACAGTTTTCCACTACTGCCAATCACTAACTTATACCATTATAATTGTTCAAGGTCAGCTTATGAGTGAGAACATATGGAACTCAGTTCCTTGTTTCTGTGATAAATCACTGAGTATGATCGACTCAAAATCCATCCAAGTTGCTGCAAAGTTCATATATTTGTCCTTCTTTATGGCTGCATAATATTCCATTGTGTATATGTACCACTTTTTTTTATCCTGTCCAGCTTGAATGGGCAACATGGTTGGTTCCATGTTTTTACTATTGTGAATAGAGCTGCAACAAACATATGTGTGCAGGTATCTTTTTTGTAGAATCATTTGAGTTCCTCCGGGTATATTCCCAATAGGGGAATTGCTGGTCACATGAGGGTCAATTTCTAGTTCTTTCAGAAATCGTCACACTGTCTTCCAAAAAGGTTGTACTAGTCTGCATTCCCTCCGGGAGTGTAGCAGCATTCCTTTTTCTCCACATCTTCACCAGCATCTGTTGTTGTTTGTTTTATTAATGATGGCCATTCTTGCAGGGGTTAAGTGGTATCTCAATGTGGTTTTGATTTGCATTTCTCTAATGATGAATGAGGCTGAGCACTTTTTCATGTGTCTGTTGGCTGCCTGTATATCTTCTTTTGAGAAGTGTCTATTCATGTCTTTTGCCCACTTTTTAAAGGGGCTGTTTGTTTTTTTCCTTTCAGCGCATTTGAGTTCTTTGTAGATCCTATATGTTAGGCCTTTGTCAGATATACAGTTGGCAAATATTTTTTCCCATTCTGTGGACTGTCTCCCTGCTCTCTTGATGGTTTCTTTTGCTTTGCAGAAGCTGACTAATTTGATGAGGTCCCTCTTCTCTATCTTATTTCTTAAGATATTGGTCCTTAGGGTTCTGAATAAGAATTGGTTCCCAGTTCCAATTTCCATAAGGGTATCTCCTGCGCTTTCTAAGATTCTTACAGTTTGAGGTTTTATGTTAAGGTCTTTGATCCATTTAGAGTTAATTTTTGTGTATGGTGATAGGTAGGGGTCTTGTTTCAATCTTCTGCATGTGGTCAGCCAGTTTTCCCAGCACCATTTACTGAATAGGTTCTCCTCACCCCAGTGGTTGTTGTTGGAGGCTTTGTCAAAGATGAGTTGGTTGAGGAATTGAGGTTTTGCTTCCAGAATCACTATCCTGTTCCATTGGTCTATGTACCTGTTCTTGTACCAATACCAGACTGTTTTGATTACTGTAGCCTTATAGTAAAATTTGAAGTCTGGAAGTGTGATACCTCCTGCTTTGTTTTTTTTGTTAAGGATTGTTTTGGCTATTCATGGTCATTTATGTTTCCATTGTCATTTCTGTATTGTCATTTCCAGGTCTGAGAAGAATGATGTTGGTAACTTAATGGATATTGTGTTGAATCTGTAGATTGCCTTTGGTAGCATGAACATGTTAACGATGTTGATTCTGCCTATCCATGAACATGAGATATTTTTCCATTTGTTTGTGTCTTCTTGGATTTCTTTGAGCAGTGTTTTATAATTCTCATTGCAAAGGTCTTTCACTTCTCTGGTTAAGAAGATACCGAGGTGTTTCATTTTATTTTTGTGGCTATTGTGAATGGCCTTGTGCTTTTTATTTGGGTCTCTGCCTGCTTGTTGTTGGTGTATAGGAATGCAACTGTCTTTTGCACATTTATTTTGCCCCCTGAGACTCTGCCAAAATCCTTTATCAGAGCAAGAAGGTTTTTGACAGATTCTCTTGAATTTTCAAGGTATAGGATCATATCGTCAGCAAAGAAGGATAACTTGACTTCCTCTTTTCCTATTTGGATACCCCTGATTTCCTTCTCCTTTCTGATTGTCCGAGCTAGGACTTCCAACACAATATTGAACAAGAGGTGTGAGAGTGGGCAGCCTTGTCTTGTTCCAGTTTTCAGGGAAAATGTTTGTTGTTTCTGTCTATTTAGCAATATGTTAGCTGTGGGTTTGTCATAGATGGCGCTTACTATTTTGAGGTATGCTCCTTCTATACCTAGGTGTTTGGGGGTTTTTATCAAGAAGGAAAGCTGGATTTTATCAAAAGTTTTTTTGGCATCCAATGAGATAATCTTGTGGTTCTTGTTTTTACATCTGTTGATGTATTTAATGACATTTATGATCTTGTGAATGTTGAACTGGTCCTGCATCCTGGGGATGAAGCCTACTTGGTCATGGTGGATGATTTTTAAGATGTGCTTTTAGATCTGATTTGGTAGAAACTTGTTGAGGATTTTTGCATTTATGTTCATAAGGGATAGTGGCCTGTAGTACTCTTTCTTTGTTGGATCTTTGCCCAGTTTGAGTATCAGTGTGATGTTAGCTTTGTAAAGTGATTTGGGGAGAATTCCATCTTTCTCAATTGGCTGGAATACTTTCAGTAGGGTTGGTATCAGCTCCCCCTTGTATGCTTTTTAGAATTCTGCTGGAAAGACATCTGGTTCAGTGCTTTTTTTGGTAGGTAGTTTTCTTATGACAGAGTCAATTTCTTGGGTTGTTATTGGTCTATTTAGTGTCTTAGTGCTTTCTTGTTATAACATGAGGAAGTTGTGTGATGTCAGAAAGTCCTCCATTTCATCTAGGTTATCAAGATTCTTTCCATATAGGCGTACATAGTGATCTCTGGTAATCCTTTGTATTTCTTTGGCATCAGTTGTGATTTGATCTTTTGTATTTCTGATTGTGTTTATTTGGGCCTTTTCTCTCTTTTTCTTGGTCATTCTAGTTAGGGGTCCATCAATCTTGTTAATTCAAAGAACTAGCTTTTTGTTTTGTTGATGTTTTCTATGATATTTTTATCATCTATGTTCCATATTTGGGCTCTTAGTTTGGTGATTTGGATTCTTCTACTAAAGTTGGGGTTTTGGTGGTCTTCTCTCTCCAGCTCCATTAGGTGCTTTGTTAGACTCTCCACTTGTGATCTTTCCATTTTCTTTATGTGTGCTTGTAGAGGTATACATTCGCCTCTCAGAAGTGATGTCATGGCATCCCAGAGGTTTTGGTCAGATATTTCTTCATTTTCACTTGTTTCCAGGAATCTTTCAAATTCTTCTTTGATTTCAGTGTTGACCCAGTCGTTGTTCAGCATCATGCTGTTTAGTGTCTATGTCTTTGTGGGCTTTGGGGAAATGTTGTTGGTTTTGATATTTATTTTTATTCCACTGTGGCCTGAGAATGTGCATGGCAAGATTTCAACCTTATGGAACTTGTTTATGCTTGACTTATGGCCAAGGATTTGATCAATCTTGGAGTATGTTCCATGTGGTGATGAGTAGAATGTATATTCTATGGTTGTTGGTGGAATAATCTGTAGGTATATACTAAGTCCATTTGGTCAACTGTCAAGGTTAGGTTCTGGATCTCCTTGTTGATTTTTTGCCTCTGTGATCTCTCTGGGGCTGTCAGTGGGGTATTCACGTCCCCTGCTATGATAGTATTAGAGTCAATACCTTTTTTTTGCTTATTTAGTAGTTGTTTTATAAATGCTGGTACTCCTATATGGGGTGCATATATGTTTAGGATGGATATTCCTTGTTAATGGATTGAAACTTTTATCAGTAGTGTCCTTTTGCATCTTTTTAAATTTTTGATAGCTTAGAGGTTGTTTTGTCTGATATTAAGTTCCACCTCCTACCTTCTTTTGTGATCCATTTGCATGGAAATTCATTTTTCATCCCTTAACTTTGAGTCTATGTGCATCCCTTGTAGTGAGATAAGTTTTCTGGATGCAGCAAATAATGGAGCCATGGTTTCTTATCCAGTCTGCCATCTGTTTCTTTTCAGTGGTGCATTTAATCCATTCACATTCAGACTGATTATTGAAATGTGATTGCTTATCCCTGTCATGAGGTTCTTATAAAGTTCATTCTTTGCTTTTTTCTTTTGACTTTGGGGTTAATGTATGTGTGTGTTTTCAAGTTTCTTGTTGTGCTGTATTCTCTGTTGATTCTGTGCTCTGCTGTTCTCTTGGGAAGTGTGTGGTAATTATTTTTTTTCTTTTTTCTGTGCTTAATACTTTTTTAAGTGTCTCCTGTAGAGCTGGTCTGGAGGCTGCATAATCTCTTAAGGATTGAATGCCTGGAAAAGATTTTAATTCTCCATCACTGGTGAAGCTGAGCTTGGCTAGATAGGAAATTCTTGGTTGAAATTGTTTATCTTTGAATATAGGGCTCCAGTCCCTTCTTCCTTGCAGTGTTTCTGCTGATAGGTCTGCTGCTATTCTGATTGGTTTCCCTGGTAGGTAGTCTGACCTTTCTCTCTTGGTGCCTTTTGGATTTTTTCTTTTGTGCCAACTTTGTGTAGGTGAATTACTATGTGTCTAGGGGTTAGTCTTCTCATTTGATGTCTTGTGGGGTTTCTCTGTATCTCTTGTGCTTGGCTGGTCACATCTCTGGTGAGATGGGGATAGTTTTCTTGGATTACCTCCTGGAATATTTGTTCCAAGTTGTTCTCATTTTCCCCTTCTGCTTCTAGGATAGCAATCAGGCATAGGTTCAGCCTCTTGATATAATCACACATCTCTTGTAGGCTTTATTCTTTCTTTCTGAGTCATCTTTCTATGTTTTTTACAGATCGGGTTAATTCCATGTTCTGGTCT